TATCAAGTTCAACATATTCACCAACTCTAACAACACTACCTGGTCAAACTATTTACTGGTAACTCTAATGTACTATCAAGTTCAACATATTCACCAACTCTAACAACACTACCTGGTCAAACTATTTACTGGTAACTCTAATGTACTATCAAGTTCAACATATTCACCAGCTCTAACAACACTACCTGGTCAAACTATTTACTGGTAACTCTAGTGTACTATCAAGTTCAACATATTCACCAGCTCTAACAACACTACCTGATCAAACTATTTACTGGTAACTCTAGTGTACTGTCAAGTTCAACATATTCACCAGCTCTAACAACACTACCTGGTCAAACTATTTACTGGTAACTCTAGTATACTGTCAAGTTCAACATATTCACCAACTCTAGTGTACTCTCACAGTTCATCATAACTGCCTCATTTATCACAAAAAAGTGGTTTTGTTTAATAATGAACTTTACTGACCTCTTCTGCTAGGACACGTATTTCAGCTGATCTAGCTCCTTGAGCATCAAGAAAATTGTCAATTCTGTTCAAAAGTTCTTCAATATCTCCAGTGGCATTTTGAGACATATTTTTGGCAGCTTGAGCTCGAGCAAAAGCTAACTTGGCTTCTTCTAGAGCTTGGTCAGCATTCTGTTTAGCATCTTTCACCTAAAAGATACAATGAAACCTTATAAGACATATAATTGACATTTCTGAAACAAGCGGTTAAAACATTAGAAACAGCAAGAGTTGAAACATTTAAAAATGGTCACCTCACCAACAGCTCATAATTTGTGGTTTTACTACAATCTTAATTCATTAAGTTCATTAGATATATGTACCATTAAATTATATGACTCACTTTAAAGAGATGATTATATGTAGGTTTGTAGCAGGTTAATAGTTCAGTATGTATTGTGAGTTTATTCAAAAGACTAAGTTTTCCATTTTGTAAGAGTTGTCCGTTACTGTTCATTTCTATTCTAAATAACAGGAGAAGTATTATAACCTGAACAAGATGTAATAGTTTAATCGTTAATTTTCCTTCTCACCCCTAAAATGTGTAAATTCAGTATAGGAAAGAAAAAATTATGTATAGGCCTAATCTATTTTTCGATTCTCTACTCCTTCTGCATTAGACTAATTGAAAAACATTAAGGTGGAGCTTGAATTTTTGATGATGAATTGTATTCTCTATTCACACGTTATTATATATTCAATACAAATTTGTGTGCAAACTGATTATAACACTTCAACAATTGTCATTTTATGAGCTATACACAAAAAATAGTAATTGTAATTATTGCAAATTAATCTTACAGGAAATTATTATTAAATCAGTACACAAATAATGCCTCAAACTTTCTTTAGCCATAGTATTTGGTGATGTCATCTTTGTCATCAATAACGACTTTGTTTAGTTTTTTCAAATTCTCTGGTATAATTTGATTCAATTTTTCTTGAAGATGTCTCCATAGGATTTTCTTTGATATGTTTGATACTTTTATCAAACATGTAGCCTAGCAGCAAATCTAAGATCTCTTTTTTATGGGGTTAGGATCTGGATTTCATGGTGGCCATTCCATTCACTTGACATCTCCTGAGCTTTCTTTTTTTGCCAAATAAGTTTGACTTTTCTTGAATGTATGTTTGGGTCATTATTTTCTTGAAATATGGTGTTCTGCATAATAAACGTTTTTCTTCAGGGTACAGCATGATGGACCAATATACCGTGGTAGTTATGCTGATTCACAAGTTCATAAATTTTGTAAAAATTGCCAACACCATTCACAGATATTGCACCTTAGGTTATCACAGAGTCTTCTGTATGCTTGACTGTTGGCATAAGGCACTCCTTCAGCAACTTCTCATTGATTCTTTGGCAAAGATTTATATAGATGACATTTGGAACCACATACTCTCCACAGTTGAATATATGACACTTGTCACTCCTGCCTCCCCACCTCCACCCACATACACAGTGAGTCACACTTATACAAAGTTTCAGAATCATCTGTCCAAAGCATTGTTCCATAGGCAAAATAAATGTTCCTTTGTAAAAGCTAGTATTTTTGCTATTTTCTATTTTTCTAGGAAGGGATTTCTTGATACTATAACCCCTTAGAGACCACATTTATGAAATGTTCTTAAGACTCTACTTCTTGAACCTTTATCTATGAATGACTTAACATTGTCAAGGTTTTTGTAGTTTTCCTAGGAATTGATTATTTAAGATATCTAATTACTCTTGTAGTGGGCTCTTTTCTCCATCTCTTGCACTACCTGATGTTAAGGAACTGGTCTCTTTCAGTGAGCTCTTTTCTTCGTCTCTTGCACTACCTGATATTAAGGAACTGGTCTTTTCAGTGAGCTCTTTTCTTCGTCTCTTGCACTACCTGATGTTAAGGAACTGGTCTCTTTCAGTGAGCTCTTTTCTTCCTCTCTTGCACTACCTGATATTAAGGAACTGGCCTCTTTCAGTGAGCTCTTTTCTTCATCTCTTGCACTACCTGATATTAAGGAAGTGGTCTCTTTCAGTGATCTCTTTTCTTCGTCTCTTGCACTACCTGATATTAAGGAACTGGTCTCTTTCAGTGAGCACTTTTCTTCATCTTTTGCACTACCTGATATTAAGGAACTGGTCTCTTTCAGTGAGCTCTTTTCTTTGTCTCTTGCACTACCTGACATTAAAGGACTGAGTTTTCTTATATCTATTGAATGTGTAAATCACACTACTTAGTGAACAGCCAGGCTCTTATGTAATATCTTTCTTAAAACCAACAGCTTGTAAAGATTTAACTGACTCTCTCAGAGGGTGACATTTCTTTCAGTGATGTATTTATAATACTATATTAGCTGTAATGGAAGTGAGGTTTTGAAAAACTATCAACCTTTATAAACCTACATAAAAAACTCAGAATGTCAAAACCTAAAATATTTTTTTATCAGTGCTGAGTAGAAAAGAAAATCATGCATGACAATATTTCATCACTTTGTATTAAGATTAGACAACTTGAACAACTTTAAATAATATACTGGATTTAATCATTTGTGGATAGGTATCACATAATTAACTAATTTTGTACAAACAAACTACGTTCAATATCTACTTTCTCAAATAGGTCCTTTGAAGCATCTTCCTTTTGGTTCAGAATCTTTTCAGCTTCTTTAGCTAAATCAAGGGCATTATGAGCTTTTGTGACAGCTCCCTCACCACAGCTGATCCCACCACACTTGTCACACCCAGCTCCCCCACACAATGAGTCACATTTGTACACAGTCCCAGATCCATCGCACACCTGTAACAACACATAAATCCTATCTTGATTAACTAGAAATGTGAAAAATATTACACCTCATTCATAAACTAAATACTACATTACAAAGACTAATCCCTTCAACATAAACATATCAATATTGCAAAGTTATAATTTTCCTATACTGAAAATATATTTCCAATAGGTACTTACCTCCTTTCACATAAATGGCTATTCTTCTTCAGTGCTGCCCTCTATATGGCAAAATTGTTTTTGCATGCCACAAGCCTTGAATTCCCATGTACCCTATGATAATCATGGTTCAACTGCATCTCGCATGTAAATCATCATGCGACAACCCTCTACCAAAAGGAGTGTGATACACCCTCCTGATGCATGGGACTCCCTCTATTCAATTCTACTGAACTATCACTTCAAGTTTTGGCAGAAAATAGAAGCACCAGTTTTCAGTGGGGAGGAAGGGTGGGAAGTGTGAAAGAAGGTAAGTACCTATCAGAAATACATTTTCAGTATAGGAGAATTATAACTTCTAATAAAGTACATTACCTCTTCTCACATAAATACCTAAAATCCCACATTGAATAGGTGGAAGGACTGGTGTGAGGGAAAGAAAGAAGCATTCTTCAAAAGCATATGAAGAACACCCTAAAAGAGGAAATCCTGACATTAGAGGAACATGCAGGGGAGCCGCACCACTTCTGTACCAGGTATACTCTTCGCCCAGTGTGGAGAGAGGTGATGTAGACATGGGCAGAAAATTGGAGGAGCACTTCCAAATGGAAGAGAACAATGGTTGGGTAGGCATTCGAGCCACCCAATTCAAGTTCAATTCCATAGATGACCGTAATGCGAGAGAGAGAGTAAAAAATGTGCTCCAAGATCTAAAATGGCTAGGGCATGATGGATCATACACAGCAAGTCAACTACAAACCAAAATCTAGCCACAAGGAAATGACATCCATGTGGGGTTAGGAAAGAGGATCATACTATCTTCACCTCAAGTTCAGCAGACCTGAGGGATATATCATACCCATCTATCTGTGAACAGGGCACATGATAGCAAAGAGAGAAAATTAAAGATGTCACCGTATAGTGAAATAGCCCACTCAAATCAATCAAACAGGAACCATCCCCAGCACATTAACATCCTTGGTGTATTAAATATCTTTGAGGGATTGCATAAGAGGAAGAATCATATTAACCTGTAAGTTCCTCCATCGTGACCCACAACACCATAGTAGTGAACAAGAGTGCAACTGAGTATGGAAACAGAGACACCTGTAATACATGTTTGAGAACTTATGTTTGATTGGTCCAGCTCTGAATCCAAATCCCAGCCACTGGAAACCGATATCCATGTGGAGGTAGGATTAGGGGTCCCAAATGAAGAGGTGAACTGCAATTTTGATGGCTCACTTCAAAGCTATAACAACACTTGTATAAACTCGTTCAGAGATAACATCAGATTAGAGGACATTTCATCATTTACACCAACAGAACACCAACACACTACTCTCAATGGAATGGATTCATTAGTATCATATATATCACTATCACATTCAGGAGGATGCCTCCTTGGTCCACCACCCCAGTGGCTTGGAACTGGAAAGTGGTAAGGACTCCCTTACTGTACTGAAAAAAGGGGGGAATGTGGTGAAGAGTCTGAAGGAGCATCAACACTGGAGACCATGGAATGGGTGACCATGAAAACCCTATTTTGAAAAGTAGACCACACCTGATTTATTCAGTCTAAGGAATGGCAGGGTTGGGCAAGTTGTTGGTCTAATCCTGATTGAATGCATCCACAGCTAGTGCAAGTGGATGAGGAACTGGAGAACAAAACAGAGGTAACCTGGTATTTAGGGGTGTGGCAAATGCATCTAGGTAAGGACTATTCCACTGAAGGCATAGCCACTGGAAAATGAGAGGATCAAGAGATTAGTCCATCGAATAAAGATGATCCATGACCATATTGAATGCACCTGGAACATGGCACACAAGGAAACAAATACCGAACATGTGGGCCTAAAAAGGGAGATCCAAGGTTCGACCACAAGGGTAACAATAATGGGTATCACCTTGGTGATTGATAAAAGCCACCACCATAGAATTGTCGGAATGTATCATGACCAGATGATTCCTGGAAACATGTATAAAATGATCCAAAGCATGATGTATAGCCAGAAGTTCCAGGATGTTGATATGGTAGGATCACTTGGCCAGAGACCATAGACCTGAAGCTTTCTGCCTAACGACCCATGTCCCCAACTCTGGAGGGAAACATCCATAAAGATATAAAAATCTGGATGAGGGGAGAAAGCAGAACACCCACCGACGTGTGAGCCCTGTCCGACCACCAATACAGATTGTTGACAAGGGAAGGAGGAGGGGAAATAGAAGCCTCTAATGGATACCTTGCAAGGTTTTTACTGGTCGTGCAGAGCCCACTAAAGAAACTTCATATGTGCTCGACCAAGGCAATAAGGGCTGCCATAGAAGACCCCATCCCCAAAAGCAATATAACTTCACGAGCAGTAGGGGTGCATAGAACTGAAAGCTCCATCAAATGGGGTTGAAGAAGAGAAGATTGGGCCCGACTGAGATGAGAGTTGAAAAAGACACTCAAGTGGACACTATATTTGGTAGGTATAAGGAATGACTTCTCCAACTTGATTAACCGACGTACACAAATTGCCTCCAGAAGCAGCAGATGAGTGTGACAGGTGGACTCCTGTTTGGAACAAGATAACAGAAGACAATCATTCATATAATGGTGTGACCACAGCCCCCAAGCATGCATATGTCGGGCAAAAGCCTTGACCACTCGAGAAATGACATATGGGGCTGAAGCAAGCCCGAACGGCAGGATGAAAAATTGATAAACTATGCTGTGATGAGCAAACCAAGTATAGTGCATCGACAGACGAGATATTGGAATATTCAAATAGGCATTCGTGACGTTTACCTTGGTCTTCCATAAACCTGAAGAAAATGCCCATGATAAATTGAGGCAGAACCAAAAATTCATTAAGGCAAGATAAATCGATCACAGGCCATCAGTCCCCAGTTTCCTTGGGTACAACAAATAGCCTGGAATAAAAACTTGGAGAAGAATGAACTACAGGTTTGCTGGCTTTTTGGGAGAAAATATTTTGTACCATCTCAGACAAACATTGACTAGTGGTAGGATCCTGAGGCGATGGAAAGAATATGGGTACTCAAGACAAAGAAGCAGGGGAAAGAAAGTGGATGACAAGTCCCTCTGATAATACCTGAAAAATCCGCATATCTGTGGTGAAAACTCGCCAAAGGGGAGCAAAATTTGTCAAGTGAGCCCCCACTAGTTACCTGTACTGTTGGCGACGTGTCTATCTGCATCGAATAATATGACGAGAGAAGGAACCCCTAGAGGTAGAAACAGGTAATAACTGGGAAGGAGGAGGATGGGAAAATAGTAGTAGGGGCTCCAGGCTCTGAATGAGACAAATGATCAACCAAAGATGAAAGGGTCAATTGCTGTCTCTCTGATTCAATGTGGGATTCCAAAGTCTCAATAATATTTCTGCAAATGGACTGCTGGAGAAAAGGGGCCACATGTAAATCTGGGTGATAAGTAAGTGATAAACGAACTTGGAGTCATATAGCATCCTCCTCCAGAAAATACCAACAACAGGGAAGAGAAATGTGCCGATTTGGAGGTAATTAGGGAGAGACTATCCCTCATAAAACCCTCAAGATCTCGATGGGGTGCCTCAAAAAGGAGGTGGATAGTAGACAAGTACCATATGAGAGTCGATAGGGTAAGACGAAGGTGAGAAAACTGAGCATGGGATAAACGTACAGAATGATCAGGGTACACCCCCTCACAGACGAAATCGATTCTAACTGTTGAGAATCAAGAAACGGAAATTCAGCCTGTTGGTATGCTTAAGCAAACTGATCCAAAGCCCGTGGAGGGCAAAGCATGCCAGCACCCTCAACCACCTGAAAAACAAAATGCTCTGCATGAACCCTAATATCCCGAGGAAGGGGGAACAAAATACTGAGAGGAGGGTGTATCATATAACAAAGAAGGAAGTGGATTATAAGAAATGAGGGAAATAGATAAAACAGAACACACCTAAGAAACAATGTCTAAAAAAGCCACATTAGGCCTAGCAGATTCCGGAGTAGGGGCATAGGAAGACATGGCCAAAGTAATTGAAGGAAAAAGGCTGTCAAATTCCTCATTGACCCGAACAGGTATGGCATGTTCAGGAGGAATGTGGGCAAGATCAGGAGAAGCAGGTTGACTCATATAATGATTCATGGTGGATAAGAGCCAATAATTCCACAGTCGAGTTATCCTCACCTGCAGCCTGTGTAAGTGTGCTGGTAGAAGATATTACCTCCGAAGTGGTAACTTGAACTTCATAATTCATTGTTAATAATGAACGATCAAGCACAACAGTGTTAAAATAAAAGAAAAAGAGAACTGTGAAAAAATAAGTTATCATTAAGTTTGCAATCTTTTGTAATATTGAAAAGAACAATTTCACTTTGGAATTATTATTTTGTAAATGTACTAAGTTTAAAGAAAAAATACGATTGAAGGGCTCAGTAAAAAACGTCTTGACACGAACACTGTCAAATGAGAAGTGATAGTTCAGTAAAATCAAATAGAGGATTCACATACATCAGGAGGGTGTGTCACACTCCTATTAGTGGAGGGTTGTCACATGATGATTTCCATGTGAGACATAGTTGAACCATGTTGATTGTAGGGTATGTGGGAGCTCAAGGCTTGTGGCATGTGAAAAAAAATTGCATATAGCATGCAGCACTGAACAAGAATAGCTGTTTATGAGAGAAGAGATAAAGTACTGCATTAGAAGATAACATTTCAGGTTTTCTAAAATTAAACAATGCTGTATCATACACAAATATAGTTCATCTTCTAGATTTTAAATATTCAGGATGCACAAAAAAGTAACATTTTGCATCAGATTGTTAACCATTTACATTTAACAGTTGTAGCTGGACTAATTATACTATCAGTGATGTCATTACTTTTGCTTAGTACAGTGTATTACACATAACAGTTGTAGCTGAACTAATTATACCATCAGTGATCTCATAATTTCTGGCTAAAACAGATTGTTAGATTTAACACTTGTAGTGCGATTAATTAAACTCTCAGTGATGTCATTTCTTCTGGCTAGAACAGATTGTCAGATTTAAAAGTTGTAGCTGGACTAATTATATCATCAGTAATGTCATTACCACTGGTTAGAAAAGTGTTACATTTCAAAGTTGTAGCTGGACTAATTATACCATCAGTGATGTCATTACTTCTGCCTTAAACAGTGTTACAGGGGGCTTCATCAGCAAAACGTATATGGCACAAGGGGTCTTCATTGGTAAAAAGTATTCAGCACAAGAGGTCTTCATTGACATGGCACAGGGGGGGGGTTCTTCATTGGCAAAATGTATATGTCACTTGGAAGGTTAAATTATCTAACAGCTGCACCAAACTTATTTTATTTTATTTTGAAAATGTTCACTTAATATAATATTTTCCTTATTGGTGTATCTTCTAACTTACCATACTGTTGATATCAGTGATACCATCTTCAAGTCTTTTTAATTGGTCTCCTATGTCATTCATTGCTGCTTCATTTTCTTCATAACTTTTGTTGTAATGACTTTGGGCCTGTTCTATCAGATTTTCTGTGTGGCGACGCTGGCGCTCAGAATCATAAAGAATAGATGTGGTGTCCCTAACCTGTCCCTCTGCAGCTCGTGATCTTTGCTGGGCATCTTTAGTTATGTTGAAAGCACCTTGAAAAAAAAAAAGAGTAAAAGATATCTATACTGATAGTTAAATATTCACAAATATCTTTATCTTTTAAGTTATCTAAAATTGTATTAAAGCAAAACACCTATCGTAAGATTATTCAACAAATTTATCATTGGTGAACACATTAAGCTAGGAAGAGAAGAGAGTTAACAGAGTTTGCTTGATCAACACATATTTAATAGAACATTTTTATAAAACAAAATAATTCACTTATACCTGCTACTCATAGATTTCATGTTCTTCTCTTTGTGGACTATTTAAATTTATAGCAGTATGTTATTTCTTTTCAAAATCAGGGCTTACTACACTTCATATTTAAAAACATTTTTTATCCATATGTTGAAAAAATATTTCATGAAGAAAAAAAGAGCAACTGTGTGTAGTACAAATAATAAAACATAACCTCCCCCTATGTCAAACAATTATTTTCACATAAATAAAAACACAATCCCCCTTTATGTCACATCCTCCTTTCTATGTCAACATAAATAATAAAACAACCCCCTTGATCTTACTTATTATTAACATTGTAACATAAATAATAAAATGCAACTCTTTTCTGAATTACATCTTTAAAACGTTCTTTGAAAATGTTTTTAAGTCAGTATATGTTAATTTATAATATGGTTCTGTAAGTACATCAATAAATTAATCTATTCTAACCGGATTTTCTTTCTGTACTATTTTTACCTTCAACATTAGCTTCTTGGAGAGCAGTTGCATTATTTTTGAGATTCTGTGCATCTTTTGTGAGATCTTCAGCTCTATGTCGTAGGTCTGTTAAAGCTAGGTTAGCATCAAAGATTCTATCCATTGTATTGCCTATGTGGACTTCTATGTCATGTAGTTCAGCTTTTCTTTCAGTCAAGGTTTTTCTAGAATGAAAATTGAAGATAAAACGAAGGCTTTTTTTTTTTTTATTAAACACTAACCTTGCAATGGTGAATTAACTAGCACAAATTTCTGATTTGTGGCAATAGATTTTCTCATCATCAGATGTGGTTATATTAATTTGTTTGACTCTTATATCATTTAAAGTAGGGTATATTAGAGATTAAAGTCTGAAATATCTGAATAAGAGAAGTAACAGATAATACACATAGCAGGTGACAGAAATCTACCTTTAATTTATCTATACACACGTGGATGTTTATATCAGACACAATCTCCCTTTAATTCATCAAGTAGCTTCTTGAGTTTTTCAATAAAAATCTTATTGTAATTCATATACCAGATCCTAGAGTTCATCAATGTAAAGACTACCTCAATCTATCAGCTAGCTCTTGGAGTTCATCAATGTCTGTTCCTGTGATGTTGGCACTACCTAAAATGTCTCTGACTTCCTCTAATTCTTTCTCTATCTCAGCAAATTTGCCTCCGTATGCGCCCGTTGTTCCAGTGCCTTGAATGTCTTTAGCCTGGGCCAGCAATCTCATAGTTTCATCTATTTAGTTCATAAACAAAATTAAATGGACTGTGATGTTAAAGTACTCAAACCATTCACCTTCAATCACAAATTTTAAACAAGAGATAAAACTATTTTAATTAAATTTAATTTCCAATAAATAGATTTTTGAACATTTTTGAATTGAATTCTTAATGAACAGAAGAGTATCCCTTAAACTTATCAAACACACAACATAATGAACAGAAGAGTATCCCTTAACCTGATTAAATGCACAACATAATGAACAAAAGAGTATCCCTTAACTGTATTAGAAACACAAAATAATGATCAGAAGTATTCCTTAACCTTGCTAGAAACACAATACAATGATCAGAAGTATTCCTTAACCTTGTTAAAAACAACAGATAAGGATCAAAATTATCCCTTAATCTTGTTAAAAATATAACAATGATCAGAAGTATCAATTATCCTTGTTAGAAACACAACATAATAAGCAGAACTATTCTTTAACTTTGTTTGAAATACAACATAATAAGCAGAAGTATTCCTTAACCTTGTTAGAAACACAACATAATGATCAGAAGTATTCCTTAACCTTGTTAGAAACACAGCATAATGATCAGAAGTATTCCTTAACCTTGTTAGAAACACAGCATGATGATCAGAAGTATTCCTTAACCTTGTTAAAAATGCAAGACAATGATCAAAAGTATCCATTAACCTTTTTAGACAGACAATATAATAATCAGAAGTATTCATTAGGCTTGTTAGAAACACAACATAATGATCAAAAGTATTCTATAACCTTTTTAGACACACACTATAATGATCAGAAGTATTCCTTAAAATTGTGAGAAACACAAAGTGATCAAAAATATTCCTCAGTCTTCTTATTCATGATGTCAGATAAACACGTAGGTTCAGGAAATCTTGATACAAAATGATAAAAACACTATAACCTGAGCGCTTTTGAAAGGTGGACCTCAATCTTCCTAGACACACAATATAATGATCAGAGCTATCCCTTAGCCTTGTTACAAGTACAACATAATGATCAGAAGTATCTATAAAGTCACACTTCAAAGTGGTTTCTCAAGTAACCTACACATTTTGAATGAGGAGAAAATGACCATAAACTCCAGAACAAAGTCATATTTATTTCACACAACGTTTTGTTTCTATAACTTTGTAGGAGAGGCCTACTACTTACATTGTTAGATTCACAATGCATAACAGTTTATATGCTTCTAAGTTTTTCTATAGACCAATGGTCACTTTTCATTAAACAAAATCGGTAGTATTTCTTAATAAGTAGTCTACTGAAACCTTGCCAGAGGTTCGTCTTATCTTTTAATCTAAAAAAATATCTTAGTAATAAACAAGTATGCTGTACAGATAGTTAACAAACTCATGCACGGCAAGGGCGTGGAACAATTTCTACTGTAAACAACCATGTTGAAAACTGTATTTAGTACTACAGTAAAGTCAAAATGAGACCTAATGATCAGAAAAATATTAAGAAACTGAATAAGAACTACATAAGTAAACTGAAGAATAGCATATTAACACACAATAGTTTGATCTATACCTTTTAACTCCTGCACAATTAGATTCCAATTCTCAAAACATTCCCCGCAAGGACTGCAGTAAGGCATCCTTCCTGTGTGTCCTCGACCACAGTGGTCACACCTATCTCCAGCTATACCATCCAAGCAGATGCAGGTACCATTGTTCCTATGACACTGAAGGGTAGCAGATCCTTTTGTGTTACATTCACATCCTGAAAGGAGACTCGACTGTTTGTATTACAGACTGCAGAAATGTACTTCTTGTAGCAAGTATTGTATGTGTTGTAGATTAGTTTATTAAAGTAATACAGACTTGGTGCAACCCTTGCAACACAAAATAATTTATGCATACAGAAAACACAAGTTGCCAGAAAAAAAGAGCTCAGCAATAATAGCAACAGAATAGATTCATTACATGTAAACTGTATTCTAACTAGGAAAGGAGCACCATGGCAACACATAACATGTTTATTTGAATGTCTTCAAATCTACACGTTCCATCATCAGCAAATTAGATGAAGCATACATATATACAGTGCATATACATATATAATAAGTACTGAGAAGTAGTAGTGGGTAAAAGAACAACAACATAAGTGGGGAAAAATCAGATGATAGAAAAAAATAAGTTACATATCAAAGGATGGAAAGCTGAAAGGAAGTTAGCCTATTGTTTAGACTTTAGTGTTTATTAGAGATACACAACTTTTATTTAATCAGAAGTTCATAACCTGATAATCCTGATGTTTAGATTTCAAATTCAATTAGAGGAAGAGGGTGATTATTAATTTAACAAATAGCACATGCATGAGGGTTTAAAAATGGGTGGCTGGTCCCAAAGGGCTCATATTTTTAATTGGCTCGTTTAGTTTTGCCAATATAGGTGGCTTTACAATCACCACATGTGAATTTATGGACAATCCATGAAGGCATAGGGGGTAAGCAGGATGTTTTTAAACTTTAATAAAGCTCCCACTTTGAAAGGATGATCTGAACACAAGCAGTAGGTTAATTTGTTGATAAAAGTTCTTTAATAGTTTTTGAATTCATGTTTTAACAATAAAACTCTGTTGTCCTAAGAAAAGAAACACAAGAAGTAATGGAAATTTTGTAGTGGTGTGTGAGATACCTTTTTAGGTGCTATTTTGTCCATTATGAACTTGCATGTTACTTTTAGAAATTCACCCTCAGAGTGAAATGAAGAATGGCTTTTTGGGTTCCTGATCATAAAGAGCAACAGAATGTTTATAACATAAAAAGAATAACAAGTGTAACTTAAGTATAACATAAAAATTCTGAAATCAATATCAAGAATCAAACATGCATATATATACACTGAGTGGTCACAAGTAAATAGAGACCTAATTTTTCGTCATTTAACTGATTTATGCTAACTAATTTGTGTTCACGGAGCACTATATAAATGAAAATGGGCCGCACACTAATTATCTTGTGCTACAACATGCTTAGAACTCAAGGTTCTCTCGAATTGTCAGATTTTGTTAGAGGAAGGATAGTTGGTCAAGCAGATGGTGGAATAATTCAGCGGCAAATTTCGCAGAGTTTGGGAATCCCGCTTTCGACAGTCAACAGAATCATTGTGCAGTTCAGGAAACAACTGAGCAGCATCCGGGTCATTCTGGTCCATCGGAGAGGACAAAAAGAGCTA